GGGGGGGGGGGAGCATGAAAAAAAATTAATTATCAACCGATGAGAAGCGAATTTTTCCCCCCCTCCCTCCAGAGATAGTTCCAATTAAAATTCTTACTTGTCGTCACGATGTAACTCTCGATCAACTTTGTCCGTGGAAAGAGGATGAAAAGTTTGTCGATCGGTCAGGTGTTCGTTTCACGAAGTAACGAAGAGTTGTCCTTGTCGTCGAACCTCACTGAGAATACGCACTAACGACACTGGTTTCGCGGGAAGCAGAACCTTGTTGAAATCGGAAAACTCGAATAACGAACTTTTATTTCTAGATGCTCGTCTTTCCAATGAATCGTGCAGCGATAAATATAATTAGACAAATATAATACAACCGTGGATGCACTTTTGGATGCGTTGCTCATTTGCCGCAATAACGGCTGTAACAAACTTATTTAAAAAAAAAAAAAAATATTAAATTTTCACTGTTTCTTCAATCCTCTTCTAAAAATACATAAGAAAATCGGAAATATGAATTTAATCGAAGGATTTCCTTTATTTCGATGGAAAACACAAAATTTGCAAATTTTTCGAGTTACGTCACTGTTGAGATGAATGAGCGAAGCGTACTGCTGGACGGTCACTTTCCACCACTCATGATTTCTCGTTTCTTGTTTATTTTCGTCGAATCGCGGGAATCGTTTGAATCGAGGGTACGTCGAGGTTTCAAAGGATATATCACAGGTCGATGGGATTTTAATCCAGGTCAGGAACGAGTGGAGATCCCTTTCGATGGGGTATAATGTCGAGGAAAGTCGTTTGACGAATCGATTTATCGATTTATCGAATCCTTTAAAACGAAAGAGATCGGCGTGTATATATATTTCTTGTTAAAGCGTTTTACCAGGAATTCGAATTTTTTCGATGAAGAAAAATGAGGTTTCTGGATGATCCGGTTGAACGAAATTAATCGTGGATGTTGGATCGTTGTCGAGGAGAATTCGAACATTCTTCCAAGCATTTGCCTCTTCTCGAGATATTTCAATTGAGATCGTGATCCCATCGAGATTTCATTTGTTCGTCTTGGTTAGAAGAATTCTCGTACGAAAAGGAAAAGTTGGGCAGAAACGATGGAAAAGGAATTCTTTCACGAATTAATCGAACGCATTTCCAGATCTCGTCATACGATGATACTATTTTTAATATTGGATCGATAAGAGATTAATATCCAACTCGTGAATTTATTATAAGTTAGCAATCCATTTAAAATTCTTCGAGAAAATTCCTCTCCATCTATTCAATAAATAAACAATTTTCTCAATTTTCAAATTTTTCTTTTTCATAATTTTCCGTGAGAAATAATCCTTTAAGTTCTCTTTCTCTATCCATTTCATTACGAAAATTCATATGTATGTGATTCCGCCAGCACTTTAAATCGATCCGATATTTATCGAATGGAAAAAGCATGGCCTTATTTTGAAAATTGGAACTTCTCTTCTATTCCTTCATTTCCTCTTTCTGAAACATTATACGATCAATCAGCGTTGATTAATCGAATTGAACCAGGCCGGTTGCAACCTCTTTTCGAATCAACGCCTATTAATATATAGTAGCCGCACCCAATTCTCGGGGAAACACCTTCCATTCCTTTTCGTTTCTCCAACAGGACTGAGAAGGAACGCCGACAACCGTGTGTCACTTGTTCCGTGACCTTTCCTAGTCTTAAATAACGACTCGTTGCACCTTTGACTCTTTACTAAGAGTACTTCGTCTCTTCATGCAAATTTTCCGCCTTTGCGTGCACGAGACGTGTTTCACGGTGAAATAGACGCATTTCGATTCTACCGAATCATTTTTTCCCTTCGTATTCCTTGCCCAGTTGGATTCGAATATAAGAATAAGTGAAAAAATGCTTAGAGATTATTTTCTTGAAAGTAAGAAGAGTAAGGGACGCTTTATGTTTAACCCATTGACGGTACTCGATACGCTCATGAAACCCCTCGACTATTCACGCGGAGACCGAGCACGCTTTCAGGACACGCGAAGAACAGTTTTGCGTCCCCTTGTGAATGACGAACGATTTTCGAGGAGTGGGGGAAAAAGAAGAGTGGGGATTGTGAGCCGAGGATATTCACGAGAAAGCTTTCGAGCAAAAGGGAACGAGTACGATTAAGGGCGAAGACATTTTTGAAATTACGAGGTTTCTATTTAAAAAAAAAACAAGAAAATAAGAGAAAAATAGACAGAGACAGAGAGACAGAGATACTTCTTTGCGGGCGAATAAAGAAGTATACGGATGATCGGTAAAGAAGTTTTACACAGATGAATTAAGAACAATCGGTACAACGGCGATAACAACGAGAACCGATGAAAGCTTCTCGAAAAGAGAGAACGAAGGCGCGAAGGCGAGACCAGCGCACGCGTTCATGCCTTCCACAGAGCGGCGGTGATCTCGAAAACTGTAGGGGTCGGTTAGAGCTCTCAGGTAAATAGCTGCTAACAACTTTTTTTGCGTTACGAGGGAAAACCGCGCGTGACTTTATTAACGCAACCGTGTTGGCTTCCCACCGTTTACCACGGCGCCCCGTACCTATCATTCCTCTTCCTATTCGACGAGGCATGGACGTCCTATTACCTCGTTCGTATCAAGATTGAAACGATCAAAGAAAGAATTCGTTCAAAATCGAATCAATCGTAAACAATATTAAAAGAAAAACGGAACGAATGAGTAACGATCACAATTCAACAATAGTATTCTGCATTTGAACGACCTCGAGGATGTCGAAAGAAGTGGGATGATGCGAATAACGAATCGCTGGTTCAACGTCGAAATCAGCCACGGAAAGATAGATCGCTGGTTGGTCGCATCGATCGTCGAATCCTGCCCTGGGCATACTAATATATAAACGCGGACAATAGCCACGGAACGAAACAATTGGAATTGCTCGTGGAAACAAGCACCTTTTTGAAAGCATCGAGCTTAATTCTATCTTACTACTAGTACTTACCCCAGTGTCGTGTCCTCCATGCCAACAATCGGGAAGCAATCGATCCCTGGTTCCCGCTCTACTCCATTCTCCCGGATCGGCCCGTTTGATCGTCGTGTCTCTCCTGTTCTTCTTCTTCTTCTTCCTCTTCCTCGTGGAAGAACGTTCTCTCGGCCTGGGCCAGCGGCGTACCGTCACACACGCGTTCTCTGCCCGACAGCTTACATCTTGACGGTCCGTGCCAGCTGTGTTCCGCAGGAGACACGCTCTCTCGGCCCTCTGCAGCGACATACGACGACCCACGTCCTAATCATACTCGCACTCTATCCACCGCGCACACGCTCTCCTCGCTCTGCCCTTACCTACTGCCTACTCTGACCCAGGGACGCATCTCTCGTGCACGAAACCATGGGTTCGAGAATACATCTCGACCGCCAATTTTGAAATTTTACCTAAAATCATTCTCGTTAATAATTGAAATGAAATTTCCTCCTTTTCGTTACAAAATTTTGATTATTTCATTTTTCTTTTGATTTTTTTATGAATTATTGATATCATCTGTCAAAGAATTATGAATTTTTAGTGGCTCGTAATATAAAATTACGCGACATTTGAATAGTTCGAGAATAAATGAAAATAAAAATGTAAACAACTGAAAGCAATTAAGTAAAAAATAAGAAAAAGCGTGATTCGAACGAAGAATAAAAAGTGAAGAAAAAGGATAGGGCATCGGGATCGATGTGGTCCTCCCTGTGGACTTAGTGCACAGTAGGGGCGCACGCTCCTCCAGGGTAGGATTAGTCACGATCCCACTCGGTCGTAAAGTTTCAAAGGTAAAAAGAAAAAGACGAAACGTAACGAGCTGTCATCTCGTATCGCTCTATTATTCCGGATCAGATCACATATCACGTATAGTAACCGAATAGAACTTCATTGCGACGTTAATTGTTTGTTCCGTCAACAGATTGCAGACACACTACATTTTCCTTCCAATCGATTCTGGCGAGAGACTCGATCTGAATTCGATAGATAAAAACGACAAAAGAATTTTCTTTAGGGAAATAAAATCGAGACATCGATTGTAATTTTTTCTTTTTCATCTTTTGATAAATGTGTAGAAATAGATTTCAGGCGATTGTCATGAAAAAAAGGAAATGAAAAAATACTGCAATATTAATAAAAATTTAATACATATAAAACTTTACCTAACGCATATAATTTTTTATTCTTCGTATTACGGTATAAAATGGTTATAAATTCACCATTTTACTTATTCATTGTTCACTTTTTCTATATGTATCATGTATCCTCTTAAAAAGGTATATGCTAAAGATATTTGCTAAAAATATATAATTACGTTTAATAAATATAAAATTGATTAATAGATCGAGTATTTTTGTTGGAAATTAACGAGCTTGCAGGGTGCTTGAGTTTATGTATCCAGCTCTGTATCTTTTATCGAATAAAATTACGCGCCCCTTTAAGCAGGGCTGGCACTATTCGTCAAATTACCTCTGAAAAATATTTATCAATTGACAATTAATGCTTTAACATTAGAATAATTTTTTTTATTAATATCTCTTTTTTCCTTTCTTTTCTTATTGGATTATAACAATTAATCGTTATTAGAATTTTTTCAAACAAAACTGATTTCTTTACTTTGCTAGACAATGTTTTTTACGCCTCGTCCCACCAACATGGCGTCACCCTTAAGGCTGTAGTGGCGCCAAGCGTTGCTTGCGATCGATGCGCTCATCAACCAATGAAAATATATGTATCCTACACAACAAATAACATTATTAAACAAATAACAACGTTCGATTAACAAAATTAAAATTATATTTTCTCCTATTGAACCACTTTACCTTAATTGCAAATAATTTATTTCAATCTTGAAACTATTCTTCGACCAATTAAATTTTTGAACAACGAATTTCGTGCTCAATTTTTTACATTTATGTGACAAACTTAACGAATGAATTCATTAGTCAATCTGCATGATCATTTTTATCCTTCGATAACAATAATATTTTATAAAATCAAATAATAGTCCAATCTGTAATGTTAATTATTCTTAATTTATGATCGATGATCGATAACAGGGAAATAGGGAGGTCGTCTCATATAAAGATTTTATTTCGTTAGTACGTACACATTTGCGCCAGCACAAAAAAGGATCGTATCATATAAAATGAGAACAATGCAGTTTCCTTTTCCGAGACTAGACACAATATAGGGGGCGTGGGGACTCAGGGTTATTGCGTTTATACCCTTCGTTTTTTTCATGATTACTTGCCGTATACATCCATCAAACGACTTGACACGATACGTATAATTCATCAATGACCCTGAGATCCAATGAAAAACGGACACGATACCGCATTTGATCTTTCGGAGAAGTGTCGACCGACTCTTCATTAATCGCGCAGTGCTGATCTTTCTTTTTCTTTTTCTTTTTTCTTTTTTCTTTTTTTAAATAACTTTTACGTCATACGTATTGAAATATTTTCTTCCTTATATCTCGTTTAATGTTCTTAGAACTATAAAGTATTCCAATACTACGACTCGATCACAGTGAAACACTGGCTGGTCAAGACACTACCATGAAGAGTCGACGAAGTTGCTTCGTATGTATAAATTTATGATATTTACAAGGGCAGTGTTGTTAGAAATATTCGAGTTAATGCTAATAAATGGCAGGCACTAAGCGACTCTTCAAGGTTTTCTCCCTTGCAAGCGGAATAAGCCATAACACGCAATATCGTTGTTTTCTTCCTAGTGTCTCTTGTAACACGCTCGCTAATGATTCTCATTCTTTCACTTTCTTTTGTACAATTTATGAATTCCATACAATAGAAAGTACAGTGAAGGAAAATCATAAATTATCCGTTAAAAGTACAGAAACATATTAATTGCGCTTAAATTCATAGTTATCGCGCATCGATAACTGACAAGCTTAAGTACACATCAAAAAATGCATGAAATTATATCGTGAATTATATCTTTATCCCTTTTTTTTTTCCTTTTTCTAAAAAAGCATCAATGTTTGCATCTTTATACTAAACAATGAACATAAAGTTGTAAAAATAATTATCGACTATTACATTTCATTAATTTTTTTTTATGGCCTGTGTAAAAACATATATCGCGCTTTGAAATTGCTGTTCAAGCAGGAAAATAAGAATTTTTTACATCGGCCAGAACGAAACTTTAGTCGTTGGGACCGAGAAGAGAAAATTGTATATATATGCTTCTTTTTATCATTGCCCATTTTGTGTCTTTCTCGTACCCAATTACGATTTATAAAAATAATTCTCTTCGGCATACACATTTTTATCGTACTTGTCACATTGTTCCGAAGTATATGAATTATCTTACGTTTCAAATGTTATTCACGAAGCTAATTCAATCTTGATCTTCAACGAATCTCCTACCATTACAAAATCTTAATAAATCGAATTTAACAGTTTACTAGATAACAGTTTTCTAACACGATACATTTGGCTGCGGAATTAAAAATATCACTACTGGTCGATCAATGTATTCTTCCATTTTTAATCGATACGCTTGCGATATTTAGCTCTACATTTTTTTCTTTTTTTTCCTTTTTCTTTTTTTTTTTTTTTTTTTTTTTTTTTAATTCCAATTTTCCTATTTCATATTCAAATTTCAAGGTTTTCTTTTTTTCGTATAATATGGCCAGCGTATGAACTTTCTCATTTCTTAGCAATATTTTTCTTCTAATTATTCGAAAAACAATCGATAAATTGGATACTATTTAACTAAGTGGATAATTTATATTATCTCTATCTTGATAGATTTGACTGCAATCTACGCTAACGATTAACATGAAGCTTCAAAGAGAGTCGTAATATTTTTTTTTTACAAACGCATTCACTAAAATCGTTTCATTAAAAACGTTTGCATAGAGTATACGAATATACCTGCCTGTACATGAAAATTTAATTTCCCTTTCTAGAAACACTAATTCAACTAATTCACCCAAGTATTGTAAAAATTTTAACTTTAAACTTTCTCTCGCAGCCATTTTCCACGCACAAACTCGCCTTTTAATCGTATCATTTATCAACCCTTTTTCAACCCTGAAGAATCGATAAGTATATTTTTTCTAGAACAATTATTCGGCGTGTGTGTAATATATAAAAAAATTCCGAGTCTCTCCACTATATAATTGATCGAAATCTCGATATCTCATTCACTTTTCACTGGAGGTCAGCAGGATCCCAACAACTGTCAGGTATGTTTCGTATCGTCCGATGATTCGCTTGAGAACCTTCTTCATGAACGAATGGAAGACGTGGTCGACGACGTCGATACAAAACGATTCAACTTGCTGTCGATAATGATTTCGTCGCCGTTTCGTATATTGTACCGATACAACTGCTTGTTAGGGTACAGCATCTCCTCCGGTCCGTATTGCGCCTTCATAACCTATAAAACAGATTTTTCAAGAATCAAGGCAAATCGCACGAGGGGGAGGAGGGATTCACATCGCAAATTTTAGTTTACCTCTAAATCGTTACTATTTATATAGGAATTTAATGATGCAGGAATGATGCAAGGGAAGGGGGTAGAAGATTCTTATATCGCGATTTCGTGCTTTTTATGAGGTCTCTCAAGAAACCAAACGTTCTGCAAGGCATAAAAAAAAGGAACGTGATGAGAAGATAAGTTGGCAAAATGGACTAACCTGGTCCACGTAAAAAAGTCTCATTCTATTCGCTGGGATTTTCACCATCGTCTCCAGTTTGGTTTTCAACTCGAAAACCGTTCTGTACACGTCTATGGATCGAACCTACAAGCACCATTCATATTTACACCAATTCCAATGATCGATATAAAAAAAAAAAAAGAAAGAAAAAAAACCACACCTCTCTTTCAACTCTCGAGCTCGCTTCGAACTTCTTCGAAACGTGAATTGAAAAACCTGTCCCCTCCCCTCCCCTCTTTTCGAGTAATTAAGCCGAATGAATTGCCGATCAAAAAATATGCATAT